CAATAGGTTGTTGGGATTGGCAAGACTGTGGTTTAGGGACTAAGACTGAGATTTCCTTCCTCTTCCCTTGGCGAATAGCCGCTAGTGAAGACAGGTGCTGTTCCAGCTGTTAGAGCCTGGCCACATGCCAGGACCGAGGCGGGTGTGCAAGAAAGGTTTTTTTGTTTGCTTGTGTGGTTTTTGTTTCTCTTTTTTGATCTGAAGAATGCTGAAACCCTCTTTCCCTCTCTTACCAGTTGTGGACATCGGACACCCAAGGAGACGAAGCAGAAGCAGGAGAAGGAGGGGAAAATTAACCGGCCTTCCACCCTTTGTCTGCCTCGTTCTGAAATTTACACAGTAGACCGTTTGTCATCCATGCTGTCCCACAAATAGTTTTTTGTTTACGATTTACGACAGGTTTATGTTACTTCTATTTGAATTTCTATATTTCCCATGTGGTTTTTATGTTTTAATATTAGGGGAGTAGAGCCAGTTAGCTTTAGGGAGTTACTCGTTTTCATCCTGAGGTGGCCAATGTGGGGATGTGGAATTTTTACACGAGTTATACATGTTTGGCATAGTACTTTTGGTACATTGTGGCTTCAGAAGGGCCAGTGTTAAAACTGCTTCCATGTCTAAGCAAAGAAAACTGCCTACATACTGGTTTGTACTGGTGGGGAATAAAAGGGATAATGGGTTCCAGTTATGAGTGTAGTCATTGTGGGTACTTTAAAGGTGTGGAACACTTGTGAGACTGTGGTACAGACAAATGTCCCTTGGATACACCTTGGGATCGTGTGTCTGCACGCACACTCTTGACCACAGCCCCACAAGTGGCTCTGGGACAAAGGTGTGACCCAGCTTACTCTGATAAGGGCAGAAACGGTTCACATTCCATTATTTGTAAAGTTACCTGCTGTTTGCTTTCATTATTTTTGCTACACATTTTCTTTGTATTTAAATGTTTAGGCAATCTAAGAACAAATGTAAAAGTGAAGCTGCGGTGATGAATTGCTCGTGTCGGCCGCTCTGTGCCTGAGAAGCACAGTGGTAGACAGATCCCATGTATTTAACTTTTTTTTAGTTTTTTGTTTTTTGCTTTTGTGATTTTTTTTCTTTTTTTTGATACTTGCCTAACATGCATGTGCTGTAAAAATAGTTAACAGGGAAGTGACTGATGACGGCTAGCTTTGTTTTCGTGTCTTAGGAGATTCTCATGAGCACCCCAAGCATAATTGTTAAGAACACATGTATTAAAGTTCATGGAAGTGGAATAAAAGTTTTATGAATGGATTTTTCAACTACTTTTCTCTACAGCTTTTCATGTAAATTAGTCTTGGTTTTGAGACTTCTAAAGGAAATTGTCTCCTTGTTCCCTCTTGGCAGCTAATGGGCTTTAACCAATTTTGAATTTAAAATTTATCAACAACCACAGAAACGCTACTGTAACTACCTTTCTCGACCATGTTCCCTTACTTTTTCCCTTCTTACTCCCTTTCAAAATTGAAGTGGACCTTTTATTTTTTCTGGGTGGGGGGTGGGAGATTGATTGGCAAAGGTAATGTGTTCCATTTGAAACTTTGGTCTCCGGCGTTTTCTAATTTAAGAAGCCACAATGTTCTTGGCCCATTGTGACACTGGCAGCATTAACTGTTAAGTTCTGTGCTTCCAAATCACTGTTGGTTTTTAAGACTTTCTTGATGCTCTTGCAGCTTGCCTCTGGTGTCCAGCCCTTCATTTCTACTGTCAGGTGCACAGGATCACTTCTGTTGGCTGTCTTGGCACCCACCATTCCGACTTGTTGGCCGTGTATTTGGGGAAAGGCCGCATGATCTCTCTGGCTCCACTCAGTGTCTAAGATACCCCGCTTCCTCTGCTTGCATCCCACAGCCTCCCCTCATCCTCTTTCCTACAGCCCAGCTCTCCTTGGTTGAGCTTGTGTTTATCTCCCTGGAAACCCCACCCTGAATGGTCTGTCCCGTCTCCCCTTAAAGCCCTCCCTCCTCCTATCCTCCAGTAACGATGGGGCTAAGTCACACCCAAAGCTCACACGTACCGAGTATTTCCTCACTACTTTACAGAAAACACCAAACAAAAATGCCATTTTAAAAGAGGTGTATTTTTTTTCTTTTAGAATGTAAGCTCCTCAAGAGCAGGGACAATGTTTTCTGTATGTTCTATTGTGCCTAGTACACTGTAAATGCTCAATAAATATTGATGATGGGAGGCAGTGAGTCTCAATGATGAGGGGGAGAAAAATCCCAAGCACTGTTCTATGGCTTATTTCATCTTATTTCATCATGATCTGATTACATTCGGAAATGCCAGCCCTTTTGGACAAATTATCCCAAATAATGCATTCGAATAAAAGTGCGGTGGGGGTGGGGGGCGTGTTCTCAAGAGAAATAAACCACTTGCATTGTGGTCCCGGGATGCATCTTCAGCCACAACCCATTGACTGAGTTTGCCTCCGCTCCCAGGCCAAGGAGAATTAAGCTGTGGACAGCAGGATGTCATCTCATTCCAGTAAATTGCAGCTGGTCCCTGAGACGGGTCACATCTGCCTATGGCTCTTCCTATGCATAGACACTGCTAAACTAGTGTGATTCTGAAATTGTGATACTTAACCTGCTACTAGCTATTGGTGTTTTTATGAATAGTGCCCAATAGATGAAGAAAGATTTGCAACCTCAAATTTTCCACCCCTTGGAATTTGAATAATAAATTTGTTTTTAACTTATTTCCCTAATTGTCCCAAATCAAGGCTTCATGTCTGTTTTGTTAATGTAACATAAAGCCAGGAAATGGTTGAACCAAGGAGTGTTTTAGTGTTTTGTGTGTGTGTGGTGCCGGAATTACCCCTTTGGAAAACGAGTTGTACTGTTTGAAGGGGAGCAGCAGGTCTGGGCTGTGGCAGAAGGAAGTTTGACCTCTGGCCTTTTCAGTTGGCAGCTCTTCCTCGTGCTGCCAAGAAGGAGCTCAGGGGTAAGAAAATGAAGGAGAGACTAGTCCAAGTGCTTGTCTCACAAAGCAGTGAAAGCTTGCCATCTTGGTCCTCCTGCTGGACAGTGAAAGGCAGCGATTGGGAAACAGCGCAGGCTCTGAAGGCTGACCCAAGGATTCAGCGGCAGGAATGTCCCGTGAGTGTGTGGAATAGTTTGTGGGTTAGTTTGGTGCCTTAGCCAGGGACCCACACTTGTGTGTGGGAAGTGTGGTTTTGTGCAGGTGCAGGCTGGTCCGGAGAGCATGGTTGCCACCTCCCCTGATCTTTGCACGGGGAAGTGACTCAATGGCGTAGCCAGAACTGTTGAGGGCTGGAGGACCCAGCTGTTGGGAAGGCTGTTCCTGAGGGTCCCTCACCGCCTGGCCCAGCGTACTGGAACAGCGAGTGTATGGTACAGAATTGAGTATATTTACACCTCGCCCGCGGTGATACTGGATACAAATGCTTTACGGTTGAGTCAGGTTCAGAACGTTTCTAGAAACCCGAGTTTGAGTACTCTAGTCTTGTCAGTGTCTCCGTCAGGTACTCCAGCCGGCGTTGGTGGGGACCAGCTGATGCTGGTGGTCAGCAGGGCCAGGTTTAGTCGACGTTAACACTAGCGGAGTGGATGGTGGACAAGAATTGCTGTCGATGGCTCGGTAATAAAGGTGCTTAACACCAGGCTCAATGACCCCATTTCTACCCCTGGAATCCACATGGTGGAAGGAGAGTTTTGTATTCTGACCTCCACAAGTACACAGGCAAAGTAAACATTTAAATAACAACTCCAGCCCAGGAATCCCCTAGAAACCTGGGGTGTGTGTGTGTGTGTGTGAAGCCAGAGAACCAGCCATGTTCATCTTCTCAGCTCCTGTGACTGAGTTCGCAGAATCCCTAGACATCCAAATGCCTGTTGGAAGATAGGATTGCTCTGATGATCTTCAGCGGGGAGAGGGACCAAACGGAACCTCTGAGGCTGGAGAGGCAGCTAGCTCAGCAGCTAACGGCTCATACGGCCTGGACCTCTGGTATCCACCAGCACCTGTACTCTCACATCCACAAACAAGATTAAAAATAATAAAATTAGCCCTTAATTCCAACACTCTGGAGGCAGAGGCAGGTGGATCTCGAGTTTTGAGTTGGAGGCCAATCTGGTCTACAGAGCGAGTTCCTGGACAGCCAGGCTACAGAGAAACCCAGTCTTGAAAAACCATAGAAAAATCATAATCTTTTATTTTAAATAGTGGTTAAAAACACTGGCTGGTGCTCCAGAGGACTCAGGTTAGAGTTCTGGGACCCACCCAGAAGCGCACAACTGTAACCTGAGTTTGAGGGTCTAACGCCCTCTTCTGGTGTCCGAGGGCACCAGGTACACAAGCGGTGCGTAGACAAGCAGGCAAAACATTCAATCTGTTTTTAACTAAAAGCTTCAGCTGACTATACATTATGAACCTCAGGAAATTTTAAATGAATAATTTATTCACGTATGTGTGATAAACCTGTTTCTTCCATCCAGGACATGAAATGCAAGCATAACATTAATAGAGAATGCTGTAGACAAGAAGCAGGGAGCAGGCTAAGGCGAGAGTCACAAGTGGATAACGAGCAATCAGTAATGTTCCGCAGTTGGGGCTGTGTTGGGGGCTTCCAGGTGCAAAACCAGTGATAGACGGGTTATGATGAATGCAGGGTCAGGCGTTGCCGTTTCCAGGAGGGAGGAAACGGAAGCTTGTGTGAGAGCTTAAAGATAGCATTGGAAGAGATAAAACGGGAGAAATAGTTACCGAGTCTGTTTAGGCCGGGAAATGAACACACAAAACTTCAACAGAAACTGAAAAACTGCCTAGCTGCGTCCCACTGTCCCTCTGGAGTGGAAAGTGTCCATCCATCTTCAGGGTGAAGCAGGATGGTGGGTAGAGTGGGTTTCCTATCCCTCTGGTCCCCGAGGAAATACAGCACATTAGGAGGGCACTTGGATGAGTGAGTCCATCGTAAGGGTCTCCTCAACCATTTGAGGAGGTGTTCGTTACTATTGCACCGTGCGGGGAAGAGTACGACTTTTAACCTTTTCTCCCCCCTCAGCAGATTCTTCTTGGATTCTTCAAGACATCTGTACTTGGTAGAATTGGAATTTTTATTTTTTTAAGTCTGGCTTGAGAGATGTGAGTACGTCATCTTTACCGGTTCAGAGCAGAGCCCAGATCTGTAAGAGGTGTATGAACAGTTTGGAAATGTTAGTCCATAAGTCTTGGCTAGAAGGTTGAAAGGTCCATAAAGCTGGAAATGAACTTGATGAGAGGAAGCTTTCTAGTGGGAGACCTGTCCGTCCCACTACTGCTGTCTGCCCACCGGCGAACGAGGATTGCACCTTACAAGGTGGTATAGGGCTAACCTGTGTAGCGCTGGGGCTTAGGCTGGTGGGAAACTGAACACGGCCGGACAGCCGTGCCCCTGGTGGAATCGTTACTTAGGGGCAGCGCTTCCAGGTATGAGTTCGCAAGGCATGCTGGATAGGCTGGAATCGAGACAACTGATCCTTGTCTCAAAGGGGCTGCTTGAGTGGGGCATCAGGGTCTGAGAGTTAGCAGGAGTCAGTGGAGGTGGCTTCCAAAAGAGTCAGTAAAAATCAGTGAGCCTGTTAGGGAAAAAGACTAAGAAGATGAGCTTTAAAAAACATCTTCCAGGGGCCCAGGGAGATTGCTCTGTGTGTGTGTGAGGCGCTTTCAGAAAGATGAGGATTTGAGTTCAGATCCCTAGCACTCCTGTAATAACAGTACTAGATCTGAGGAGACACACATAGGAGGTCCCTAGGGCCACTGCCGACTACTTCAGTGAAACGCCTTGTCTCCCATCCCAGTACCAACCAGGCCCGACCCAGCAAATTTCCAGGGCTCGGATGGGATTGGCACATCAGGGTGGTATGGACGAAAGGGATGCCATCTCGTCTCACAAAACAAGATGGAGGTGACAAAGGACCCTTGGCAACCTCTGCCTCACACACACACACACACACACACATGCAGCAGTGGTGCATTAAGGAACAAAAGCAAAGCATTTAACTTCCTCTTGCACTAATCTGACCAAGAGCAAGCACAAAGTTGAATTCTCCACTTCTCTCCTGTCTTCTTTCTGTCTGTAGTCTAATTATCTAGCCTGGCCTATCTGAATATTGTATGTGTGTCCGATCTGGCAGTCCCTGTTGCCTTTGAGTTGTGCCTCTGCGTCTGTACCTGTGTCTGTGTGTACCTGCTGGCAGGTGTGTTGTGTGCACGTGTGTGCACATACATGGGTTTGGGTCCCTAACAAAGGGCTTTGCTCTGTTTATTGACGAGCACACACACACACACACACACACACACACACACACACGGTATGGAAAAAGAACGGGGAATTTTTAAAAACAAATCTCTAACATTAGGTTTTACAAGGGAATAAATAACTGACCCCAAGCGACTTAATAGCACTCAAAACCCCAAGATCTTTCAACCTATAATCTGCATTTTGCTTCCAACATTGTGGTGGACATTTGGTGAATAAGGCTGCTTCCAACACTGTGGTGGACATTTGGTGAATAAGGCTGCTTCCAACATTGTGGTAGACATTTGGTGTATAAGGCTGCTTCCAACCTTTTGGTTGCTTCCAGCAAGTGATTACAGCATGCACGTTATTCTGGCCAAGGGCGTGGAAGAACACATAATTTAAGATCAAAGCCCTGTGTTGAGCTTTTGTAAAAGTTGGAATACATGGGCAGCCCATAGTAAGGTTGGTTACATTGTTTTGTTTGTTTTTAATGCTGATTAAATATAACCAGGCTGAGCAAACAGCAGGACAGCAGGTAACACATAGCCTTAGCAGGTCCCTAGGGATAGTATTAAATACATAGCCTTAGCAGGTCCCTAGGGATAGTATTAAATACATAGCCTTAGCAGGTCCCTAGGGATAGTATTAAATACATAGCCTTAGCAGGTCCCTAGGGATAGTATTAAATACATAGCCTTAGCAGGTCCCATTGCTAGGGATATTATTGACCTGGTGGCAAGGTCTGTGAAAAATTCAGTCTCCTTGAGGTCAAGAGATATCTTCCAAAAAAACATTTATCACTACATCAGTTCAATGAGAACCTGTCCCCCATCCAAGCACTAGCCAATCAAGACCCTGCTTATCTCCAAGAATCAGGAACTCCCATGGTGGTGTGGCTGAAGAAAGAGATCTTGGCTTGTAAAATAAGATGGTGACAGAGGAAGACACTCCATCTGAGTCTGTGTCACACACACACACACACACACACCTTTAACTCCAGTTCTCTTGGGTTCCACACAGATAAGTCTTGTTCTCACAACAGCCGGGGGCGACAGGTGAGGGAGGACCAGGGTTCTCAGGACCTAGACACGAAGCTGCCCACTGGAGAGGAGAGAGTGAGACTGGGGGCTAAAGGCATGGCTGTACGGAGTCCATGGTTTTGGCCCCACTTTTGTTGAAGTCTCGGCTGAGCAGGCATAGAACTGTCTACAAGATTGCAAGTGGTCAAGATGGCAGAAGGCAGAAAAAAGAAACCGGAAAACAAAGATCTCTGGAAACACTGTCTTCCCGGCAATGGCTGCCTTAGACAGGGAAACTGGGCTGTGTTTCTAACTCAGTAACACCACACCACTAAGAAAACACATCCTCATTCCCTGCTCAATTGTTTCCCTGTTTTCTTTCAAAGGACCTTAAAGCAAAACACTAACCACAAAGGACTTTGCTTTTCTTAGGAAGGCAAGTATTTAGTAACTTGGCTTTTCCCAAAGATTAAGTCTAACTCTTTTTAAAAATTACTTTGTGTATGGGGGCGGGGTTGTAAGCATGCGTAAGCATGTGTAGGCATGGGCTACCGGTAAGTGTTCTAGAGAAAGCACGCTGCAACCCGAGCTGCATCTCCGTGAGCTCTCTCTCTGAAGACCTTACCGCACGATACGAGTGTGTGTCGTGGCCATCAGAGAAGAGACTTAGTCTCCCTGCTACTGGCTGGCACCTGGAGCTGGCACAGGTGACAATAGATCTACTCCAGCTGTTGGGAGGATCCTGATGACAGCGTGGGAACCAGACACCCTCCTCCACTCATCTGTAGGAGCTGAGACGAGCGGTGGATCTGGGGGCGGGGAGGCTAGGCAGGTGCTGCCTTTGCTATTTTCTCAGCCTCTGTTCCAAGGCATCTGACTTAAAAGACTGGCTACAAAAAAAAAAAAAAAAAAAAAAAAAAAAAAAAAAAAAAA